CCACCACACCATACGGGTCCTTCGTTTCGCCTGTCTCTCAGCTATTTCTACCGGGTGATTGCTGTGGCAAAGATCGGTAGAAATAGCTGAGAGACAGGCGAAACAAAGGACCCGCATGGTGTGGTGGTGAACGCGTTACTCCCCGGAAAGGACAATAGCGCGTTCGTTCCCCACCATAGACACCTGCGGTCCAGAGTTTTGCAAAAATCCTGAAAGACATGGCTCAAATAAATCTAAAAATAACTGCTTTCACAACCTTCATAATGGTGTTAAGAAAATGCTGATTTTGAGTGGCTCTATGATGGTTTTGGTGTTTGTTCGACAAATTAAATTTGTAGTTGTTAACAAAATGGGGTCAACCGATCCGTTCCAGGTTTTCAAATCTCGGCTTTTTTAAGCACTGTTGTTGTACTTTATCATGTGTGAAGTCAAATTGTTTTGAGGTAATTACGAAACTTTTGAGCGAAGATTCATGAACAATGTGTTTTTGCGTTTAAACACTGGCAATAAAAACATGATTTGTTGTAGGTTCTAAGTGCGAAATGTAATGCACCAGTGTTGGACAACGAAAATGTTTGCCATGGCGCTTATGGCGTTGCACAATCAGCCCAGATGCTGCTTATGGCGGTTCATCATTGATCTGCTGGTCAGCATCCTAAACTGTCGTTATCTTCTTGTAGTTATGGAAAAAGTGAGCAGTTTTACAACTCTTCTAATGAGCGGTCTTACCGGTATAAAACTGTCTAGCTTGCTGCCTTTTTTAAGAGAATGTATTGAACGGTATATGAAGTTGTGTGATGATAGGTCACTTCGTACCTCCGAATTTTGTGTATATACTCTTAATGTAGCAGAGTTCTCCATCTTACACTACGTTCTCAGCAGTAGTTGTAGCAATTTTCTAATATCCTAAATTATAATAAGCTATGAACCCTACTCATTGATGTCTAGATAGCTAGGGTATTATTACTAATGAGTGTTAACGCATACATGATGGTCACACTTTGGTGCTTCCCTTTTTGTTATTCGTTGTCTCTTGATTTGTGACGTAATTTGGAGAATTCTAATAAAATTTTAGTTCGATTGTTAAGATATGCTTTGTGAGATATAGGCTAGATTCTCGCGAATAACACTAAGAGTAGACTAACAGCAGAAACACGAGCAAAGTGGTAAGATTTTCCATGAGTAGTACCTCTGGTTCTGTGCTAAGTTTTAGATTCGTTTTCAAGAGAGGATAAAGGTTGTTGTCAAGATTGTTTAGACTGCCGTTAACATAACCCTTCCGGTCTCTGAAGAGGGCGAAATTCGCTGGAACGACAGCTCTTTTCTAGTGAATAAAGAAATAACCTCGTGTTTTGTCATCAAGAAAATACCGAATTTGTAGACATTGTGTTTTAATCCCAACAGTCGTTACCAAATGGCGAGGAGGTAATACTAATTGTGCATTTTTAATAACTAGGAAATACCTTCACAATAGTTTCTAGTGATTAAGTTGAATCTGAATTTGAACGGCTCTAAACTCCTGCTTAGCACTAGTAGTGAATTTCAGGAATGTCTTCATTGCAGACTTAATTTTGGAAATAACCGAAACGCTCCGAGTCGTGTGTAGAAAGGAGTACAAGAAATACCGAATGTATCAGTGGAGCGAAGTTAGGCCAAAATTCTGAAACTCATTATACACAACTGCTTCGCTCGTACAACGAAGCTCAACAGGAAACTCAAGCATTCTGGTGTTAGTTCACAAAGAAACGATTTTTTGCTCTACTGGATTGATACTTTAGCTTTTTTGTCAATTATCAAAGGTGGTGGTGAGGTGCGTGTGAGTTTATGTGAAATGGAACTTGCTTTTCGCTTTATGTATCTGCTTTGGCATGGAAAAGATGAAAACGACGGCGCTGATAAGCGTCACATAGATCGGGCGCCTCCTTTGACTCGACTAAGTGTACACCTTGCTGATTTTTGGAGAAAGCCTTCAGAACATTAACGAACCTTTAAACTTAGTAATGGCAAAAGAGATCCTCTCCACTGGTTCATCTGAGCAGCACTCGGAATGGAGAAGGATATATATGGCATTTTTTGGATTCTTCATTCTTTTCTCGGAAACGGGAGTCAGGCAGGTCAGTTTCCTTGAAATTTTTTCACCGATAGTGCCGTCAGGTTCTCTACGATTCTTTAAGGCAAAAGTCTATTCTTTCAATATTAAGTTGCGCTGTGATTCATCGTCAAAAGTTTTTGTTCATATCAGTTGGTCCACTATTCATGATTCATATACGTATAATTGTTATTGGGATCTGAGTCCTAATTAGTAACTGATGGCTCAGAGAGGAGTTGAACTCGTATAGCTCCATACCGATGCTATTCATTGAATTTCCAACTTTCTATTAGTAGAGAATGCAACCTATATATATCTATAGTGCATTTTGTGTTGCACAGGCACCTCATCAACCCTTCCTTTAGAATAAACGTGCTGTACGATTTCTACATATCAGGGACACCAAAATATAATGCCATTCTCTCCTGAATTGCACACCGTTCCCCTAAACTGGGCTTCCTATTTGATGCTACGTTTTATTTATTTCGTTCTCTTTTAGTCCAGTTTAGCTTAATTTGGAAGATGTCAAATTCACCCACAGGGATGCTGTGATATGAGCAAAAGTCAGAACTTCAAATGAGCTTCGAACTTGCCATTACATGGCTCACGTGCTATCATCCATCACAACAAAAGAGGCCGTTGGTTTACCTTTCTCTCAGCCATGTTCTCTTTCCATAGGTGCTGTACCCCATAAGTGGGCAGTAGATGAAATAGTAAAACACTATAGTTTCCAATCTAGTCTTCCTACAATGATAAAGCTACTCGTTTTTTTTTGCGTGCACCAGCCGTCCTCATTTGTGCACAGTATTCACGTCAGTCTGTTTGGAGATAGCAGAAACTGTAAGCAAGAACTGGGTGCGAGCGGAACCCTAACAGTGTACTACATAAACCAGAAATTTTACAAAGCAGATAGCTTCACATCTGGAATGGTTCTTCTATTAGTCATGTCCATATTCACATTTGACTATAAAATAATGATTGTTTGACCTTTACCTATTGCCTATTTTTTTTTCATTGCAGAGTATTATGTGAAGTACAACCACAATTATGCAGAGATATGAGCAAAACCGGGAACTCAGACAGAAGTTGAAATTTCGAATGAAAGAATGAAAATTGATGAAAGTTGAGATTTCGAATCCACCTTCAGCTTAACTGACTTCAATGTCGGTTTGTTATTTCCAGATAATTCTCGTTGAACGGTAATTGGTAGTAGTACCGTTAGGGTAATCAGTTGGCTGGGAAAGGCAAAGCGAGAGGCTCGACTGGTGCGGTGGATAACACGTGAGCCCCTGAAAGCCTAATTGTAGGTTCGAAGCACATATGAGGTTCCCAGTTTTACCGATATAACGGCATCGTTGTGGTTATGAAATAATAGTTCAGTGGATGTCGCTTTTCAAAGGTTTCCCCATTATGAATGTGAATAAATTCTGCATCCAATTGTTAAGGCCATGCTTCACCGCTTAAACTATGGCTTGTGATTTTCTGATTCATCGTTCACTTCAAATGTTCCGAGTATTGTAATTTGTTGATAAATGTTTAAAACGTTCCTTCTTCTACAATTTTTTCCTTTCGTGCTTATTTAGGTGATGAACATTTTTGTTCCTTCGATTACGGTTGCATATAACTGTACGAAAACGGAAGTCGATACAGTAGTGATTGTCTTACCGACGGCTTCAAGTCTAATGGCCGGCTAGTGTTTACCAATTTTTTTAAAAATCTGTACATCATACTTTAATAATCACTGTTGAATACTACGTGAATTCACCAAGTGATACTCTGATAGTTTTAAAATATGTTCAAATGATGAAAAGAAAAAATGAACAAATGGTGATGAGAAAAAATGAACTACGCACTGAAGTTTCTCCCTTCGTTATTTTTTTCTTCGAAGTTCTCATAAAGCCTCAATGAAGAGTGCTTTTCTCCGATTAACTATCCCGCATTTTCTATGCAAAAACCCAATTAATAGCATGAACTTCTCTTTGAATTGAGAAATTCTGCTTCGGTCATTGGCCTCTACAATGCGGAACAATGAACTACCAAAACGCTTTTTTTTTACTTTCCACTACTTCATTTTATAAGATTACCGTTTTTTTCGCCATAATTTTGTCCCAACGAACACTTTTCTTCCTCGATTTTCTTATCAAATGTAGTTTAGTAGATAGTCAAAGTCACTTTTGTGCTATTATAGTAAAAACAACTGCATCAGTGTCTATTTGTCGAACTGACTAGTAGTCTATATGGATAGTTAAGAAATGTTAAATTATGCCACTGTGCAATTCATTTAGCAAATAATGAGAAACATAGATCGTAAGAGCATAAATATGAATCAAATAAGAAGATAATTTAAAAAACCTCGTGTCTGCTTATTGAAGAAAAACAACGAATTTAATTTTAAAGAATTATGACGAACAAATAGAACTGATGTTTATAGGACCGGTATCTGCGATGTTTTATCAATTTTTCGGCGCTCGTGTGTGTATACTTTGTGGAGCATTACTCTGTTTTACTGGGTTCAGCCTAGGTTCAGTAGCTCCATCGGTGCTCATTCTTTCAATATTTGCCATTTTAATCGGTGTGTTCTTTGTTTTTAAAATTGTTTATGTTTTTGCTGTAGAAAAATTCGTTAGTATATATTGAATTGACCTCTGCCCGGCCGTTCTATTGCTTATAAATTGAAAAAAATCCATTTGGATTAAAATGGTTTAAGGTAGACTATTTATAAGGGAATTGTTTGAAATCATTTCATTCATCTCCATCTTTACTCTTATATCTACGAGAAAACCTGCAGCATGAAAGGAACTTTAAGCATTTAAAATCCAAGACGAAATTGTATAAGTGATCAAACCACTACCGGCAATTACTACCGTCTTCATACGAAACTAGTCGCAAGGGGACTAATCTCTGGTTCATAAGAGCCGAAGACTGCCTGCGGTGGTGACGGCCTGAGGAAGGCTTCGGCTAGCCTGACCTCGGGATTCCAGGGGACCATAATGGCTAAACCATCAATGTTCCTGCTTCAGTACCCCCACACACTGGGTGCTCTCCTTTACGACGTCGACCGGTGAGGCAACCGCCGATAGGTGATCAAGTCTCGAACTGCACAGTGCGTTACTGGTAGCGAATAAACCTAGCACGCCCACGACAGTCCGTGGAAACTGCTTCTTGCGCTGCACCTATGACACCAAGGCAACGTCTTCAGATGCCCTGATCATTGCGCTCTTATTGAGGGCGCTGCTAACATAAAACTCCATGTGATCGCCCTGCAAAAGAAGTGGAACAGGATAACCGAGACACCCAGTTAGTGTGCACCAATCTATTCCCATCTAGTCACTTCATACGAAATCCTTTCATTGTGTCGCCAATTCTTCGTCTCCAACTTTATTTTTGAAAGGGACCCACTATTATCAGCTGCTACTTACTAATATGTACAGCAGGTGGAAGCAAACTAAACGCGTTCTACAACCATTTAGGGAAACTAGTCCACTTCGATAAGTGTCCTTCTACAATTTCGCTGTTGGAGAATTCAATGCCAGATAAAGAACGGAGAACGAAAATGACGACATGATGGGGAAATTTGAAATAGGAGAAAGAAAGATGAACGAAAACAATCTTGTAGGACTCATGTCCGCGTCACGTCTCCCCCATGGGAATTCATTTTTCGAGAAGAGAGAAAGTCGCTGGGATTTTCCTAAAGACATGGCTAGAAATCAGCCATATTCTCACGAACAGAAAATCTTTTGCCTTTGACAGCTTATTGGTACCCTGTACAGGATCTGATCGTCGGTTTTTATGTGCCAAGTTTCGATTTTTCAGCGATGAACCGGAGAAAGAACTCCAATCGTGGTTCGAAGACACTAAACAAATCGTGGATGTCGAGGACATTCTCAGTAGAATCTTATTCTCATTTGTCGATGAACTTAAACCTTTATCGGATCTGCCCCATTTTCTCAAACTCGAAGTTTAGACCGCGTTTCCATTACCACTAAGTTGCTCGAAAAAAGAAGTACACTAAAACTTCATTCTACTGCAACGCACCTAACACAGCTGATAATAAATGTCGGCTGTTTGAGATCTGAAAAGGGGGATTCACATTAGGATAGGAAACGTTACTGGAAGCAGCTCAGAAATGATCGAGTCTGAAGAAGTCCCGTCGGGATCTTTGAGACGTTAATGTTTCGCTATTCGCCTGATAAACGAAAATGGTACTATCACTGCACTGCGCCATGATGTGGAATTGGTAACGAGAAAGTTCTATACTAATCTTTTCCGCTCAACAACTTTCGTCGTAAATTTCGGAGTTCACGCTGGTGAAAATCCGCCGGGGATTCTACCCTCTGAAGTCGGGGTCGCTGTGGAAAGTATGTACGGAAGCATAACTCATAAAGAAAGATAGGTACAAGACCCGATAAAACCACTGCCGATTTCCTTAGAGCTGAAGGCTGCAAGTTGTATGTACTTTCCGTAGCCCACATGACACCTTACCTAGAAGGGCAGAAAATCTCAAACCGCTGGGGGACATCGCGCGCGGTCGTCTTACCTAAAAAGGGTAACCGAAGGGATCTTTGTAACTGCCATCCAGTATGTCTGTTGAATGTACTATATAATTCATGAATATTATCGTTTTGCTCATGCCAAAGACTTTCGGAAGACGCCGCCAGTTGAGAAAGCAGGATTTTGGTAGGATTCTGCTGCATGTACCACATCTTAACCGTATCACGGTCATAGGATTCTGTCGAGATCATCACCAAGCCCTTTGTCCTGCTTCTATCGACTCTATGAAAGCGTTTGGTGGCATCGGACCGAATGCAATTCTATCAGTACTCGTCGATCAAGAAACAATCTCGTAAGATGTAATAACGGTAGCTGATTATTGTCGGAACAAGAGCGGAAATATGCAGCTTTTTTATCGAAGGGGTTTCACAAAGCGACGCAAAATCACCAAATCTATTTACTGCAACATTGTATTGGGTGATGAATTAACTCGAAAGAGACTAGAAAGACAGACGTATTTACTTAAAATTTTTATGAAATCCTCGTTTTGCAGACGAAGTCGTCATGTTTTTGGGTAGTACCAGTGAAGCAAAGATGATTCTGACAGAACTTAACGAAGCGGAAAAAACATCGGTCTGCGCATTAAGAGGACGAGGACCCAGTTTATGGAGAACATCGTGCGAAGGCGGACAAACTGAACTGTATATTTTTCTGATTGCAGAAACCATCTTGCAAGTGTATCACGGACATTCAGCGAGCATGAATACAACGTGAAAGATGATCTAGATGAAAAAGGAGAGCAGCAATGGCGGCGTTCGGCCCTCGCAAAGAAGCCACCGACCAATTAACGTACCTAAAGCTACACGCTCACGCTTTCGATTCTATTGCTTTGTCAGCGCTCTGTTATGAGACAAAAAAGTGGGCTGATACTTCAACTACGTCAGCAAATTGGCATACCACCCACATAGCGCTTCAACATTGTCTTCCGAAATTTAACCTGCATCGTTTAGCCAAAATTCACAACTAAGATATTCGGAACCTATCCCATCTTCGGGATAAGGGAGAATGTACATCAACAGCGAAACACAGATAGGCCGATCACATACCAAGACAAATTGATGACAGATGGACGAAAAGAACAGTGGAGCGGATTGCGAGAGAATGCAAGCTTTCCTTGGAAGACTATCTGTGAAATGAGCGAACGCGCTCGTAGCTAAAGTTAGCCGCTTGCATTGCAGATGGAGATGATTTTAGGAATTCGGAATGGCCTCCCGGAGGTTACCATGTTTGAAGCTAATCACCACCACGGACGACAATTGCGCGAGAGAGAAAGGGTGGAAATCATTCTAGAGCCCACACGACAAGTGACGAGGGCCACCCAAGTATCCAATTAAGTGTCCAGGATAGCGCGCTATAAATATCCAGGAATATGTCGCTTTTAGTTCATGTGAAGGCAACTGAAAGTAAAATAGTGTGAAAGCTGTGAGCTTTATCTTAACAGCTGTCTACGTCTTAGCCGTTCGAAACGGTGACACTGCTGTAAATAATCTTCGTGGAATTTATGTATATGTATATATATATATTTATATATATGACACGAATAAATTTGGTCAAAAAATATTTTAAATAATAACCATATTCCTCTCACCGGTTTACTCCCTCATTGTGGCTGGGAGGTCTTCCAGGGTGTCGAACTGCGATGTACAGCGGGGGATTCAACCGCTGGCAGGGTCTCCTAATCTGAGAAGGAGCTCTGCGTTTGGGAAGCCTAGGTAAGAGTAAACCAATGCAGAGACCCACTACCGTCTTGGTATCATAGTCTCGTGGTGGCAAATCTCCATCTGATCCACAAGGGCTGCGACTGCCTGTGGTGGTGAAGACGCGGGGCAGGCTTTGGCCAAGCTGACCTCGGGATTCCAGGGAACCGCAATACTTAACCAGCAATTCTCCGAAAAATAGGGATTATGCTGGGGTCCGCACAACAAATGAAGAAAGGCCGTTCAAGTATCAAGTGTGAAGTGTCAAGTAATAACCATTTCATGCCACACACAAGAGATCACTGTGTTAAAATCAGAGGTTTTTGTTCACTACATTTGATCGATGCGCCGTTGTAATGTGTCGGACCAATAATGCAGTCGTAGGTCCCTGTCCTTGCATTTGAGAGGTCTCCTACATTAATATGTCTTAACAAAAAACTCACCGAGTCAATACATCGGTAGACCACAGTAAGCTCGATGAAGTTGAATACCCCGTGCATTCCTAGGAATTGTTCAGCACGGAAACCTTTATCGCTTATTTATACAGACCGTGGCTGGGTGGCCCAGCGCATGTGATGCCGTTCATCACAACTAAGGTGCTGATTCGATCCTTCACAGAGCTGATCAAGCACCTCAGCACCCCGGGGTCCAAAAATTGGTGAGAGACTTCTCTGACCCCAACGCACTCTTTCATATACACGCATGTAGCACAGCTATACCCAGGACTCGGAAGCTAATCGACTCGACGAGAAATTAACAACGTTCATGAACAATGCAACAATCTTCAACCAATAACCAAACCAGCACTTAAAAGGTTCGAACAAAATCGTGGGCGATAGATGTGAGAGAACGATTCAAATGTAAGAACTACTAGAATCCGCATAGTAGATTTGTAGATGGATCACATGAAATGAAAAGATGCAAATATGTTGAATTCATCAATAGGAGGTAAGAAAATAGCAGTACAGCTGCTTACCAGCACAAGCGTAAAGCTGAAAAAAGTGGAAGGATTACATCCCTAGTGTTATCTTCTTTACAGTCATTTATGAAAGGAATTTAAAACTGGAAAATTTTCAGGTTTTGGATGTGCCTTAATGAGAAATGCTATTATCTCCGTTCAATGTGAGTATTTTACTTCAATGCGCAATACCGTCATGTCGTTCATATCTATTGGACCAGGGATTGGAATATTCTTGTTACCTCGAATTCTCGTCTCTTTGATCAATAAAGTGGGGAACAATCTGTAGCACTGTTGAGATTCGTCTACAGCGTACGAACGTCTTCACCGCAGCATGATATTTGCCAGTTTAGTTCTTATTTCAGTTCTCGTGGAACTTTGGATTTCGATTTCTAGCAACGCTATACATCATCTGCGGCATTATAGCCATCTTCATCACGAAGCGATCAGCAACACAGCAGCACTCTTTTGCTCATTTCACTGGAATAAAGGTAATATTTTGAAAGGAAATTTTTTTAAGGAAAAAATAGCTTCGTTAACATATTTAATTATATTGATGTGCCTTTCCATTTATTTAGCCAATAGGAGCCACCACTTTTTTCTTAGGATACTTTCACGACCTATTCTTTCTGATTTTGCTTTGTATTGTCCTCGGAAATACAATGTGAATTGTTTAAAGGTGTGGATGCACATCGGATTCTGGTTCCACGCTATTTCATCCTTTTGTGCTTCTTCAGTATGCATAATTTACTTCTCAAATATTCTCAGTCTGATGAGGGCAGAGGGTGTCAGTGAGTGAGTTCTTCTTAACGTTAACTCAGAAATTGGTTCGAAATAATGCGCAAGTGTCTTATAAAGTCCAAGGACATTGAAATAACCAATGTTTTTGATTAATCCCTTTTGAGTGCTCTAAGGACAAGGCTATTATATTCGAGCGAACTCTTAAGTCTCATCCCTTTTGCTGCAATCGGTGATGAAAACGTAGAAATTTTAAACAGATACATTTTTAAGTAACTCCCAAGTCCGACTTTCTATTAACCCCGGCATTGATTGAATATATCTTTCTGCTTCTGTTCAGCAAACACGAGGTGCTATTTTATTTCTTTATTTACGCACAAGCTGACGTTTCGGCGGATTTCGCTTTTCTCAGAGCCTGGAAGGGTCAAGTTGACAGCAATCCACTCGGCCAAACACCTCCATAACCAAACAGAGAAAACTCTAAACCAAGATTTCAATCACATTTAGCATAGCTCTGCACACTCACCGCTTTCTATGAGTCTTCCACTGAGTATGTCACGTGAAGACCGACCGCAACAAATTCACATGGAAGCGTAATGTGCCCCTCCCATCAGAATAACAGGTTTATATACTGTCCAATATCACGCTTGATAACAAGGCACTGGACATCGAATTGCAAGTACTGCGCACCTGTGTACAAAACCAGACGTTCGCTAAGTGGAAGAAGTGCGAGAAGAAAGAGAACTATTGTGCTCAGTATTTGGAGGACCGCCTCTGGAGGAGAATAGCGGGTGGGTCAGTGTTGATTTGCAACTCTATTAGGTCTAATGCTAAAGTAGCTTTGCGGAAAAAATTCGAAGACCTTTTGAGTAAATCGCATAACACGGCTTCAAGAGCATACAGAAACACCACCAACGATGATCAAACGATTCACAGTAGGATAAATAAAGTGCGAAGAAATTCAAGGTTGAGCGTGCTAGGAGGCATAACCCTCCCTTACGGTGCGCGCTCGTTATTAGAATTGGCACCGAGTTTCTCGCCATCTGAACCCATTTCTAAGGTAACCTTGCGTAGGGTTGCATGTAGTTTACATGAACTTCAAGATAGACTCCGCAAAAACGCTAGAGATGAAGCGCAAAATAGGCGCGAACAACAAAGAGTAGGGGCAATACCAGTACCACCATTTCCTCAACCGTTCTTTAGACAACAAGAGCCCCATTAATGAAGTCATGTTAAATTTCGGATGTTTACGAATGAAACTTTCAAAGACCTTAATCACTATCGCGCTAAAAGATACTGCTCCAACCTCACTGAAATACAAAAACGTGGTATGCGAGAGGTACGAGAGCTGATAAGATCAAAAAACGTAAGACTATCGGTTAGTGATAAGTGGAGAGTTCGTTGTAATTCCCCATCAGTTAGATGTTGAGATAACGAAAAAGCACCTTAAAGATGCTTCCCTTTATCGTCCATCGTCTAAGAAGGAATTTAAAAGTCAATACCGAAAGTTAAACAACGATTGGGTTAAAGTGGCAAGAGCGGCCGGGTTAAAACCATCAGTTATCTCTCATCTCGAAATTGACTTACCAACATGTCCCGTCCTGTACTTACTTATCAAAACCCATAAGTTATTATCCAGCGATGATCTCGTGTCTACCGATCCATCGTTATTTAAGGTTAGACCTATCATTAGCTGCGTAGACGGGCCAACGGATGAGATAAAGTGGTTAATAACCCTAATACTTACTCAGTTGTTGAAGTACATTCCAGCTCATCTAAAGAACACCCAAATGTTCCTGGATCGTCTACGTAACGCGCGACCCAACAGCGCGTACGTTGTGGAGTCCCTCGACGTCACTGCCCTGTATACGAACGTGTCGAATGACTCCGCTATGCAAGCCATAAACGAGCTCCTTATACAACACGAAGGAGCAATAAACATGTACGGTTTCTCGATTCAGCAGTTGATGACACTCTTAAAGGAGTGCCTAAACTGCTCAATCTTCAGATGGTCCGGGAGGTATTACGCACAAATGAGAGGGCTGGCAATGGGACAACGACTGGCACAAAGCCTTGCCATTGCATTCATGTCTAAGGTGGAAGCGCCAGTAATCGACCTCGGTCCGTTACTCTACTGTAGATATATAGATGACTGCTTGGTCATTTGTTCAACGTAAGAAGAAATCGACAGATGTTTCGAGTTGTTGAACACACAGTCAGAGTATATTAAATTCACCCGAGAGAAACCAAAAGAAGACTGGCTTCCATTTCTGAGCGTGCAAATTAGCCTATCAGAAAACGGCTACATTACGAAGTGGTATCGAAAGCTAAGTAGTAAAAACATCCTAGTTCATTACCTCTCCTCTCACCCCTCTCACACGGAAAGGGCGCTTGTGAAAAACATGTATTGAACTGCTACCAGCGTGTGCACAGAAAGACTGCAGAAAGAAGAGTCCCTGAACTGGGCGCGGCAAATATCCAGTTTTAATGGCTACGAAACTGTAGCTCGAGATAGGTGTAGAGGAAACCACAGGTACCCCAACGATAACTCTAGCGACAACAAGGTCCCGTTTATACTGCCCTTAATTTCAAATGAAGTGCAGCTATAAAACGCTGCTTAAGAAGGGCGGGTCTAGAGAATTCGGTAAACGTAGTTGAAATGCCGCCGAGTACTCTTAGGCGCCAGCTAGTTCGTAACAGCCTATACGACCGTCTATGTGCAACGCAAAATTGCATAATTTGCCCTAATGGTAGAGATGGTGATTGCATGAGCTCGGGTACAGTCTAACTGATCTCTTGTAAAGCGTTCGGGGACGAATACGTTGGCGAAACGGATAGACCACTCTGCGTACGTATAAAAAAACACCTAGTCGGCAAACGTAAGCCAAGTACTCTACTAGATACGCATAGCAGGCAGAAACATAACGGAGAAGAATTTGAAGTAAGGGTTACGATCCTCGCGCAAGAATCGAGAACACAAGCGCGCAAAACTCTAGAGGCATTCTGGATTAATTCCAAGAATCCGCAAATGAACCGCAGGGAGGAATGCCTCGTTATCACGCGCGATATTGGGCAGTATATAAACCTGTTATTCTGATAGGAGGGGCCCATTACGCTTCCATGTGAATTCTGTGCGGTCGGTCTTCACGCGATTTACTCAGTGGAAGACTCATAGAAAGCGGTGAGTGTGCAGAGCTATGCTAAATGTGATTGAAATCTTGGTTTAGAGTTTTCTCTGTTTGGTTATGGAGGTGTTTAACCGAGTGGATTGCTGTCAACTTGACCCTTCCAGGCTCAGAGGAAGGCGTAATCCGCCGAAACGTCAGCTTATGCGTAAGTAAAGAAATAAAATAGCACCTCGTGTTTGCTGAACGAAGTAGAAAGATACATTTTTGCTTACCCGAATGCAATTATAGGTTGTTTTCTTAATCAACAATGTCTTCTAACATGTTACCTTGTCATCTTTCTTAAAGTAGTTGCTTACAATCCTGTTTGACTCATCCACTTCTTTTTCGTATGATTATGATACGTACTTGGTCGCGTTCGACGAAACAGTAATTGGTCATTAGCTCAATTTATGTTTAAAAGCTGGTCAGATTGTCTAAAATCACCAAAATGTATTCATAGGGAGAGGATAGCACAGCGGTAACGACGCCGTTGAACACGAATAAAGCGATAATCCAATCCCTCCTCCCTGTCCAAACCAATCCCCTCGTGTTCTTGTGGTCAGAAAACTAGTACCAAGCTTATCTGGTATTCGTTCGCCTTCTGAAATCTACAAAATTTCGCAAAGGTCTGGTTAGCCCCTAGCTATCCGAGGAGTGAAGGGGAATCGAAAAGTCGTCCCAATTATATTCATACAGAGGGTCAAATCGTCAATCAGAAGTCAAATGGAGAACGCAAATCGAAAGACTTTCATGGGTGATGGATGCGAAGAAACTATTTGAAAGAAAGAAGTGTTGGAATCCGCACAGTACACTCGGTGTCGGGTTGTGTTAAGAAAATTGCATTTTTGCAACACTATAGAACCGTATATAGTCTTGTCTATCGATTCTTATCCAAAGGTTTTTTTTCCTCGTTAGAATCTCAAAGTGTTGCATAACTGAAAGAGTTTTTAGACCTGAGGTCGTCTATAGCTACCATGGAATCGCGTCTATCATTGGGCGGTCTCTTCTCACGCTCTTCTTGGGTCTCACCAATGCTAATATATTGATAGTAATGATTTTTAACTACGTAGTAGCACAAGGCAGTATTTTTTCGGCATCATTCTGTTTCACACTGTGGGAATTCCGGATTCAAAACGTTTTCGCCGGAGTTGGAATAGGTATTTTCATTTATTGTCGCTTTCTTAAACTGTAAACTAACTTAAGCAAGAAGTCTACAACGGGTTAGAAATACTGAATCGAATGAAAACATATAAAATCAAGAAGAATATGTGTGCGTTGTAATTCCCATGACCGACTTTCTATTAATTGACTAATCTTAATCGACGCTGATCAAGTAATTCTTCATATTCTTATTGAGGCAAACGCCAGGTGTTATTTTATTCCTCATTAAAAAGCAAGTTGATGTTTCGGCGGATTTCGCCTTCCTCAGAGTCTGGAAAGATCAAGTTGACTGCAATCTGCCCAGCCAAACACTTCCATAACCAAACAGAGATTTCTTCTCTCTTTTCTTCCTCTTCCTTTCTTTCTTTTTTTTTTCCTCTTTTTTCTTCATTTTTTCTTTGCTTCCTTTTCTCTTCTTTCCCAATTTCTTTTCTCTGTTTAGCTATGGAATTGTTGGCTGGGTAGATCGCGGTCAACTTGACCTTTCGAGGTTCTGATGAAGAAATCCGCCGAAGCATCAACTTACTCGTGAATAAAGAATAAAATAACACTTCGCGTTTGCTCAACAAGAATATAAAGAATATGTCCGTTCTATTTTTCCTTCTTTCTATGTTACGGTAATGGGAGCACCACTGAGATTGAATTATATTTAAATAATTGCCTAAGGGAATAGCTTTCTCGCAGACCGCCCTACTCTGAAGTTTCTAGTGCTCCTAATAAAACACTCGTTGAGATCTCTGTAATTTCCAAACTTTTATACGTTTTCCTTGTTTTCAGCAGTTTCAGAAATTTCGTATTGAATGTGTTAACCACTCGATCGTTCCATCAATCTTGAGCCGTGGCATTAATACATGCCGTTTGAGGAACTATATTATGTCTAACTTTCTGATGTCACCAGTTACTAGTAAAGCATTATTAAGGAGTAGTTTATAAGAGTGGCATCATGTGGCGAAACGTCGGGTTAAACCAATATTTATCGTATTGATCCTTGTTTTCTTTCATCCATATCGCCACGACGGCAACTCATTCTGGAATGGAGATGGATATTTTCTTTCGGAAGCCAGACTTAAGAAAAACTAGCGTTACGGAACTGTTACAATTCTGCAAGGAACTTGCTCTTAAAACGTTCCGATGTTCGACAAGGACGAGAAAAGTGTGCTGGCGCCAGTGCTATTCTTCGTGAAGATAAGGTCGTGCAACTGACCGTTCAGGAACGAAGTTTTGTTCTATTTCGTCTATTGTTTAATTTTGTCGTTGGATACGATCAATCTGAAGCTCATGTACAAAAATCGCTGCCGTTACCAACTCGAGCGGGTTTTGGAAATGAACCCGCGCACTGGTTTTCTGTTGAAACTTATCTGATGTTTACTTCCAAAGCCCTCTAAAACAAGTAAATTTGGTCATTTCACTGCATTGGGCTTTTTACTCTATAACAATGTCCATATATGCTAAAGAATTTTATTTAAGTAATTGCGCATGAACTTAGGCGAAGACTTGTGTGTGCAACAATTTCTCGGAAATATTCTAAGAAGCGTAGGAATGCTGAGATCTGAGCGAAGTTAGGAACCTCAAAAGGGCTCAAACTTGCGATTACTCTTGACGGGAACTTACGCTCTATCTGCCAGACGAATCGAAGCCCTCGCATTGCTTTTTTCTCATTCACGTTTTTTTAACTCTACTGTTGCTATCAGCATATACCCGTCAACGGGAATGATCTGGAGAGCACAAATCAGAATTAAACCTAGTCATGCTGAAGTTGCAGCCGAAATCACAATGTTTTAACTTTTTTTGCCGTCTAATCTTTATTCATTGCAGGGTACTATGTGAAATGCAGCAAAAAGGGTGCTTAGATATGTGCAGAACTCAAAAATATTTAAATTACTTTTGAATTACTCTTGTAAAAAGCAGTGGAGTTATTAGTGACGCAGTCCATCTGGGCGCAAGATACTGCATTTATTTTCCACATTTGCCTCCAAATATTTATACAAAACGTGCATATTGTGCGTTTAAAAGTGTTGTGATATCATTTAACACAAATCTGTAAACTATTAAAAGTCTTCTCCTTAACTTGTTAGTTTCAGGATTTTTCCAAGCGACGCTTGCTCAGTTTCTGTTGTCGATGGTCGGACCCTCGCAACTTCCGGGAGCTTTAGGTTATACAAATCTTGTGAATGGTGCGGCAGCATTCACTGCGGTGCACATCGCAGGTACAGTCCGTTTGAATGAGTTTTTTCTTGTATAGTCTGCTTCTATTACTTACTCGGGTACTTGGATACTTGGACGGTCGGTTTTTACAAGTTGTGCGGACTCCAGCACATATGCCATTCGTTCCATTCTCTCACAATCGTAGTCCATGGCGGTGGTCTTGTTCGAGCATGGTAGCGCGTGCGAGTCTGATACTGTGATCTGCAAAACAACTGCAGCTGCGGGTACAGCTGATTAACTTTGTTTACGAACACGTCCTTCCAACGTCCAGCGTCCACGTCCAACTTCCAAGCTGGTCGCCCAAGGGGCGCTTGCATTTTCTTGGAGTCCACTCTGCTGTTCTTTTCATCCATCTGTCGTCTGTTCTTATCATTATGTGACCGGCACATCTATGTTTCGCTATCGAAAAATCAGAAAAATTACTGCTTCCGTTCTAACAATCTAAATAGGTTTACTAGGCGGCCACTGGGCATTCAATTTTTAATTTGTTAAAACTACGTCATTGTGCTCTTTCAACGCTGCCGCGGGCTCACCAGGCCTTTCATCCCTCTGGAGCAAACGAATTTGTACTATACTTGTTTGCGAAGCGTTCGCTTCCTGCATTCTAGCGGTAACGTAACCACGACGACTCATCAAACAGCACACGAACCCACACCTGGAAGTTCAAGCACCCTCGTGGGTGATCGATTCGATGAAACGAACCGAATGCAAAAAGTGCAGCGATCCGCACTGTAAATGTGAAAGAGGGCCGTAGAAAACAAGAAAGAAAGAATATGATGTTCTTTGCGTTAATTCTTTAAATAGCTTTCAGGATTCGTCTCCCAGTACTATGAAAGCATGAGAGCCGCATTCTATCCTTCCATAGTGTTTGGAATTTGTGCGATTATTTTTGCCGTTATCAACTCAGTGATGATTTTGCTTCGACAAAGCGCTAATACTGAAGGCGATGTGAATATGAAAGAGGTTGAGATTCCTGAACTTCGTATAATGTTAAAACAAGCTCCAGAAGATTGAAGGCAGTTGTTCTTTACGATATCCTTTTGTAAACATATCGTTCATTTAAATATAGAGATGAACGGCCTTTATCGAGACATGTTCTTTTTCGTGATGTTTTCATAAAGAACTAAATGAAAAGATTCTCGTTTGGCTTGCACAATTTTTGCTCCTTCCGGCATTGTTTTCATACCATTCATCATTTTTTTCAAGAATAAAGTATGACCATTTCACTTACGTGTTTTGCTCTTCCACGTTAGCAGATCCTGAGCATTGTCGCCTTCTCTGCCGAGTTTGAAAGCTGAATGTTGAAAGTTCATTCTCGTATTACTGGTTAAGACATTAATAGCTGCAGTAGCCTATAAGTTTCATAGAAGCATTAAATCCGCGTATTCACTCGAAAAAGGCAGCGGTATACAAAACCTTTTTTCAAGTGGAGTTTCCCACTTCCCATCTAAAAATTCTTCAGCTTAACAGCCAAAGTGTAAAAAGTGATAAGGCTCTCGTCGTTGATCAATCTCTGGGAGATGCGTCATGCATTCGACTACGTTAAGCATCGTTGGAGGTGATTTAATGCGTATCTGGCCTTTACAATGACTCGCGGTGGCCTACCGATGTGTCGAACCAGCGCTGCTGTCCTCTCAGACAAGTCCGGTACCAATTCGCCTACCCCGAAAGGATGGACGAATTGGTGAGCTAGAATTGGGCGCTAGAATTGATCCCATGTGCATTGCTCGGTTCTTCCGACTAGTACGTTACGCTACACGCGCCCACTACGCTTAGTACCTAAACACATAAAACTACCTTCCTTATTGTAGAAGTAGACCACGCAGCACTGCACTGCAGTGGAAGCGGGCTTCGCCTATAGCAGAAATTTCTCCTGTTTAGCACATAGGGAAGCGTATTTCGATGTGAAGAGAGAAACTGAGCAGATAAACATATTGCTATCATGTTCTTAGCACGTGGTGCTGATAAGACTTGTTTATCCACTAAAATGAATATAGTAGAAATAGCTAAGATGAGAAAAATTGTCTGACTTCACTTCGGAAATGAGCTCACTTCTATGGAACAAATATGATGCCTTTCTACTACCTGATAGCTCATCCTAAACAATAGTAGTCCAAAAGACTTATCATAGGGAAACAAACATTCTATCCTGCTAAACAGAAGGTTGATTTCAAAAACACTTTTCTGTAATAAAACTGAGAACAACCTGTAAATAAGTTTAGCGCGAATAAAATTGCACAAAATATAAATTAGACGAACGAGACGTTCAAAACAAAGATATGGCAATTGTAACTTATCGAACTAAATGAAAAGAAACACAGTAATGCTGAAATATTTGCAAAACCTGGGCACCAGGCCAGATCTAAGTGCAGTAACCCTTTCGAGGTCTCACATGTTACGCACTTCACTACTAAGGCCGTCGTTCCGCCTTCCTCTCAATCAGTCTTTTTACCATAAAGGATTCTTGAGGAATCAGTGAAGTGGCTCATGAGCCGATGGTATCGTTAGGATAAAAAGACTGGCTGAGAGAAAGGCAGAATAAGCGCCTCAGTAGCGCCGTGCTTAACATTTGAACCACTGGAAAGGGTAATCACTATTCGGTCTGGCCTGGGGTCCAAGTCTTGCAAATATCCCAGGATCATTGAAGTTTTATTTCACACAATACTTTACCTTAAAAAATTTCTTGTTTTTTCAATGTTTTTCATCAATAAGCAGACACGAGGTTGTTAATATAGAATTTATTAGAACACAATTGCTGACGTTTCGGCGGTTTCGCCTTCTTCAGAGCCTGGAAAGGTCAAATTGAGATGCGATCTACTCAGCCAAACACTTTCATAAACCTAGCAGATAAAACTTGATAAATCGATTTGTATTCGCATAAGAAACAGCTTCATTCAAACACCTACCGTTTATTTGTCGTAAGTATTTAAGTTAGTTGGTGGATAGCCGCCGCACAGAGTAATACATGGTCGATAACTGGGTCCATGTCAGATCATTGGATCAGCCTGAGGTATGGCGCTAGGTCACGCGTGATGACAAGACACTCCTCCTTGCGGTTCATTTTTGAATTTTTGGCATTGATCCAAAACGCTTCAAGAGTTTTTCGCGCTGATGTTTTCGATTCCTGCGTAAGGATAGTGACTCCTACCTCAAAATCTTCTCCGTTGTGTTCTTGCATCCTATGCGCGCCTAGTGGAGTATTGTGTTTTAGTTTAGATTTACCGACTAGGTGTTCTTTTATGCGGACGCAGAGCGGTCTACCCGTTTCGCCAACATATTCGTGCCCGCACGCTTTACAAGAGATCAGATAGACTGTACCCGAACTCATGCAATCACCGTCTCTACCATTTGGGCAAATTATGCAGTTTTTTGTTGTACATAGACGGTCGTACAGGCGGTTGCGAACTAGCTGGCGTCTTAGAGTGTCCGGTGGTATTTCTATCACTCTTACGAAATTCTCTAGACCGGCCCTTATTAAGCAGCGTTTTATAGCTGCACTTATTTCGTTTGAAATAAAGGGCAACAGAAACGGAGCCTTGTTTTCACTAGAATTATCGCTTTGGGGCGTGGGATTTCCTCGATGCCTATCCTGAGAAGCTACAGCTTCGTAACCATTTGAGATGGCTATTTGTCGCGCCAGTTTCGAGGATTCTTCCCTCTGCTCTCTACCTGTGCACACGCTAGCGGCGGTTCGAAACATATTTCTTATAAGCGCTCTTTTAGTGTGTGAGAGGAGCGGTAGTGAACCACTATATTCTTACTGTTCGGCTTTCGATACCATTTTGTGGTGTAGCCGTTCTCTTGTTTTTTCTTGTTCTTCTTTTCTTTTCTTTTTTTCTTCTTCTTCTTTTCTTTTCTTGTTTTTTCTTTTATATGACCCGTCTTAACGTTTACTATGTGGATCCAGCACTTGCCACATTCGATTCGTTTCCTCGCATCCATTGTCCACGAAGATCTTCCAACTTTAACTTATTATTTACTGCCTACTCTTTTTAACGGCAGGGTACATATTGTGAAATATAACTTTTAATGATGCTGAGATATTTGCAAAATTCCGGATCGCAGGTGTCTGCGGTGGCGAACGAACGCGCTATTGTCCTTTCCGGGGAGTAACAAGTTCACCACCACACAATGCTGGTCCATCGTTCGATAGAACTAGCTGAGAGACAGGCGAAACGAAGGATCCGCATGGTGTGGTGGTTAACGCGTTACTGAACAAACTGAAAACTGAACAACGAATGGGTCAAAATGGCAAGCGCAGCATGCGTAAATCCAGCAGACATTTTGCATCTTAAGATCGAAGTGCCGAAATGTCCCGTCTTATGCCTACTTATCAGGACCCGTAAGTTAATATCCGCTGATGATCTGATATCTATCGACCTCTCCAACAGTATAGTTGGACCCATCATCAGTTGTGTAGACGGGCCTACGGGTAAAATGGCTTGGTTTATAAATCTAGTCCTCAACAAGTTGCTTAAGCTCATACCAGCCCATCTCACGAACGCGCAAATGTTCCTAAACCGTCTGCGCAACGCACGTCCCAAAAGTGGGTATGTTATGGAGTTGTTCGACGTTACCGCCCTTTACACTAACGTGTCGAACGACTCCGCAATGCAAGCCATCCGCGAGCTTCTTGAGCAACACGAAGGAGCAGTTAACAACTATGGCTTTTCGATTCAGCAGCTTATGGTCTTCCTAAAGGACTGTTTAAACTGCTCGATCTTCAGATGGTCCGAGAAATATTACGCGCAAATTAGAGGGTTGGCAATGGGACAGCGACTGGCACTAACCCTTGCCGTTGCGTTTATGTCTAAAGTGGAAGCACCAGTAATCGATCTCAGGCCATTACTCTACTGTAGGTATATAGATGATTGTTTTGTCATCTGCTCCACACAAAACGAGATGGACAAATGCTTTGAGTTATTGAACGAACAGTCAGAATACATAAACTTCACCCGTGAGAAACCGAAAGAAAACTGGCTTCCATTTCTAAACCTTCAAATTAACCTATCCGAGAACGGCTACACCACAAAATGGTATCGAAAGCCGAGCAGTAAGAATATAGTGGTTCACTACCGCTCCTCTCACCCCTCACACACTAAAAGAGCGCTTATAAGAAATATGTTTCGAACCGCTGCCAGCGTGTGCACAGGTAGAGATCAGAGGGAAGAATCCCGAAACTGGTGCGCCAAATAGCCATTTCAATGGTTACGAAACTGTAACTTCTCGGCATAGGCATAGAAGAAAAACCACGCCCCAGAACGATAATTCTAGTGAAAACAAGACTCCGTTCCTCTTGCCCTTTATTTCAAACGAAATAAGTGCAGCTATAAAACGTTGCTTAATAAGGGTCGGTTTAGAAAATTCTGCAAGAGTGATAGAAATACCATCGGACACTCTAAGACACCAGCCAGTTCGCAACCGCCCGTGTGGCCGTCTATGTATAACGAAAAACTGCATAATTTGCCCTAACGGTAGAGACGGTGATTGCATGAGTTCGGGTACAGTCTATCTGATCTTTTGTAAAGCGTGCGGGGACGAATATGTTGGCGAAACGGGTAGACCGCTCTGCGTTCACATAAAAGAACACCTAGTCGGTAAATGTAAATTAAAACCAAACACTCCACTAGGCACGCATAGGATGCAGGAACACAACGGGGAAGATTTCGAAGAAGGAGTCACTATCCTCACGCACGAATCGAAAACACCAGCGCGTAAAACTCTTGAAGCGTTTTGGATCAATTCCGAAAATTCAAAAATGAACCGCAAGGAGGAGTGCCTTGTCATCACGCGTAACCTGGCGCGATACCTCAGGCTGATCCAATAACCTGAAGCAGACACAGTCCTCGCCCATGTATTATTCTGTGCGACTACTATCCATCAACCAACTTAAATTCTTACAACAAATAAACGGTAGGTGTTTAAATGAAGCCGTTCCTTATGCGAATACAAATTTATTTGTTAACCTTAACCCTCTTATTTACTGCCTTTTTTTTCTTTTTTTAATGGCAGGA